CCATTCTCATAACAAACAGGTCATACCACAAGCGAGGTGACTCAGCCAATCCATAGAGAGCCTTCTCAAGGATGAAGCAGGCATCTGGTCCAAATCCATACTCCTCCATCCCTTCAGGGATTGAACAATACACAGTGTGAGGAATGGTGGCATTTGGGAAGGCATTCACTACATCCCATTGCCGGGTTTTCAGATTCCTTGCAAAGGCCAGGGCAGTGATGGCCCTGAATACCTTGTAACCAAGTGTGGCAGCATAGGTTTCATGGGTTGATGGCAATTGAAGATCCCCACGGACACAGAGTCTGGCCTTGTACCTGAGAATCTCACCAGTTGATGGGTCTGTTTTGTAGGCAAATACCCAGACCAATGGTACTTTGTGGCCCTTGTGACCAAAGAATACCCTGAATGTCCTCTTGCCCATAAGCTTTCCAGCTTCATCAAATGCTGCTTGCCTGAACTGTTGGTGATGGACATGCCTTTCCATCTCTTTCCAGTTGGCAGGGGGTGACAGTGAACTCGTCACTTGATGAGGATCCTTGAGGTTGGGTGGAGTGTAGGCTTGGAGTGAAGCTGCAGCAGCAGAACTCAGTTCATCCAACCGTCCAATTCCATGGTCGATCCATCGTCCATGGTTGTCCACACTGTACCAATGGGTACTTTCTTCCACCTCCCCATCTGAGGCAGGGTGCTGATGAGAGACCGAAAAAGCGGAGGGTAATGAAGAAGCGGGTGTACCCGGTGAGGCCCCCGGGGCCTGACCATTATCTCTGGCAGGTGTTTCTGGCGGCGTTGGGTATGATGACTCCTGTTCCTGTTGTGGCCCTTCACCTCCCTGCTGTTCACCACCTCCCTGAGGTTGGACAGCAAAAGTCGGAATATTTGTGGCCAGGAAAGGGTCATCCATAGAACCATCAGAATTTGGCTCTTCAGGCATTGAGATTGAGTCAATCACAGTCTGGTGAATGGCAGCAGGAACCAACTCTCCAAGTGTCTGCCCATTGATATCCAGCGGATTGTATCTCTCATTATCCTTGAAGACCACATCTCTTGTCCTGATCACCTTATTGAGTGAAGGAATCCAGATCCAAAAAATATTGGTGGAGGCATACCCAATCAGGTACCCAATATGAGCTCTCTCTTCCATCTTGTCTCTCTTGGCAATGTCTCTACGAAGAGCGAAGGCCTTGCAACCAATGGGGTGGAGATGGCCAAGGAAGGGCTTCTTGGTTGTGACTTTCTCAAATGGAGTCATCCAATTGAGTTTGGCAGTAGGGGTCCTGTTGAGTAGGTAAACAGCTGAATCCATAAGCCATGGCCAGAGTGTCTTTGGTAGTCGACCATCAATCCTGAGAGTCCTGGATTTGGTAACAATCTCTCTTCCAGCAACCTCACTTGCTCCATTCTGAGCAGGGGTACCAGCAGCAGTGGGTAGAGTATTGATCCCCTGCCTGGTAATGGCTTTGCCAGCATCCTTTCCCATGGTTGCTTCCATATCACAGCGAACCAGGATGGTTTTGGCACCAAAGGACACTTCCATCTTCTTGAAATGTCCTGGAAATTTGGCAATTGCTTGTGGCTTGGTTGCCACAGGATCACCAACATGATAGCCCTCCTGGTCATAGTACCAGTGGCTGTAAAACTTGAAGACCAATCCATTTGGTCCAGGGAGAGAAGGGGTCATATCAATGAGATCCCATGAACAGACAGCCATCTTGGCATTCTCTGCCTCAGGCAGCACCTCTCTGTGCTTGTCTTTCCTCCTTGAAATCACTGCTTTGGCCTTGGCCAGCAAGCAGGTGTCACAGGTGACACTGTTCAAAACCTCTTGGCCATAGTCTGGGCCAGGTTTCATCTCAATTACCTGGCAACCCTCAGTTGCAGGTTCCAAGTTCTCAATAGCCCTCACAGATGGATGGCCTAGCAACTGATGCCATTGATTGGCTGTTGCTGTCAAAGGTGGGAGTGGTTGGTAACTGGATTGTGCAGCAGCAGTAAATCCAGTAGGTGACGTTGAGGCAGGTGAGGTTGACTTCCCCGCATTCTCAGAGTGTGGGGTGCATATTGACTTCACCTCCTCAATTCCAGTGGTTCCAGCAACACTCTCTGTTGCAGGTAACCTTTCAATGATCCAGTGACCGTGTCTGTCGTCACTGTGTTCAGGGGTAAGGTATGCCCAGAGCCTGGGTTCCTCATGAGGTTGGCCAGTAATCAATCTATCAGGCCAGTTTCTGGTGTCATGGTGAATCCCCTTTTTGTTGAGGATTTGTAGTGAGACCAAGCTTGTGAAGAATCCCGGAATGAGCCTTGCCTTGAGAAGAGTGAGCTTCCTGGTAACTCCATTACCCATATCCAGATTGATGGTGGCATCAACAATTGCCTCAGGTTGGTACCTCTTGTCCCCAGATATCACTGTATCAGAGGAGGTTGGTAACTCAGACCTGACGATCCTTGCCCTCATGGACTCATTGATGATGTGAACATTGGCACCGCCGTCCAGAATCACAGCGTTGTGAAGGCGGGTGTGGTGGCCAATTGAACCAACAGATGCTTCAGGGGTCGATTCCAGGGTGGCAGCGGCAGCAGTGTCCTCGCTTTCTGCGGTCATACCTGACTTGTTCTTGGCTTCTTTGTCCTTCGACCCTTGACCTTGAGCAGCGTTGTAAGCTTGAATTGCTTTGTCCACTCTCTCTTTCAGGTTCTTGTCCTCCTTGAATCTCTTCTCAATCTTCTTCTTTGTATCATCTCTTGGCTTCCATGCCTCAGGCCTCGGGTACTCGGCATTGAGGTAGTAGCATTCCTTCCACATGTGGTTCCTACCACAGAGACATGGTTTGCTTGGTCTTGAAGATGAGGATCGGTTTGAGGACGAAGATGATTCGGTTGCAGCGGCGGTTGAGATGCTGGCGACGGTGGTTCTGTGCTTGCTCTTGAATTTGGTGTCTCCATTGTGCTGAAAGTAGGACTGCCAGGCTCTCAATTCTGAATGGAGAGTTGTCACCTCCCCATCATTCTGCTTATCAAGCAGCCTCCCTGTCCTTGTGGCCACATAGTCTCCATACATTGGAGCCATAGAAGACAACCATGCCTGGGTGGATTCATTGTCTGCTTGCTGGCCAACAGCATCTCTCTTTCCACACCAAACGAACCAAAGGTGCATATGGTCATGAATGGACTTTCCATATGGTGGGTGAGAAAGGGTTTCCAACTCTTTCTTCAACAACTGAGTAGCAGCCAGGG